AACTCAAAAACACATTTCCTGCTATTTATTACACGCTCTCAAAGAGACGAGCCAGAAGTATTTATTAGCTGACTTTTCCTGGCATCCGGATTCAAAATCCTGGGGTGGGGGTTCAGAGTGCTCTCAGAGGCGACTCCGTCAAACGACAGTCTCAACTGAGAAAAATTATACTGGGAGTAGCCCAAACCCGAAACAGCTTCCCGAGGCCGCGCCCTGTCATTGAAACACAGAGAGAGATGAATCGGTGCTCGCACCAAGGCCAGCGTTCCTGGCCCGGGTCAATGCGCTCGAATCCCCAACTTAAAAAAAGACCTTGTGTCACACCTGGTCTTTGTGGGGAGACAGACTAAATACCCAGTAAATGTATGAGTGATTACTTCAGTTACTACGTTTAATTAATTATAGCAGTAAAATATATGTCTGTATTTAGACAAAATTACTTCCCAAGCAAAATGAAATGTTTAATCAATCAGTTCCTTTATTCCTACATTTCTTAGATGGTAGCCTTATTAGTTCAAGCCTTACAGGTGAGGCACTCAGATACCTTTTTCTATTACTTTGTCTATTAAGTTATCCTATTGCTTCAACTTCGTCTTGAAATAGACTTTGTCATTGCTGTATTTGTAGTTTTGTTGCTAATCATTTTTCTTCTGATAGATATTTTCATTTCTTTGATATATTAAACACAAAATTTTAACATGAAAATGTATTGAGCAAAAAACGATTAATATGTTGCCAAGACTAATCCATAACTCCAACTGAAACCCAGTCTAATAAGTGTATACGAGGTACACGCATAATAGCCAAATATGCGCCATATTGGTGAAAGGTGTTCATAAAACACCACATAAATTTGCAAGTGGAGCCTAGTTAAAAACAATATCAGGTCGGGTTTTGCTGTGAAGTAAAGTCACACCCGGTAACACAAATGAACTAGGCAAGATGCCTTAAATAAAGAATTCAAAGTGGGTCAGATGAAATCCCTTGGAGTCAAATGGTTTGCTGCCAAGCTCGCGGCTTATTTGTCGAACTTTCTGCCTTTGGGTAGAGAGGAAACAATGCTTACGGGCAAAATCTAGTCTGGGGAGGTAGACAAAACGCACTCCGTGTTTGCGAGTTCTACGCATAAAAATCGGCCTTGTGCCACATCCTGCCCTGTGCGGAAGTTAGTAAATACCAATCCGTTGGAGTTAGTCGGGAAGAATTCTCACGACGTCACAGCGGGTAGCCCAACCGAGACATAATATAATAACCGCTAGAAGCGATTCATAACAGGTTGTAAGTCTGCTCAGATAACTATGCTGTACAAGAAAACATACGATTATAAGTTGTAGCAATAGTAGTCATATCAGTAATATAAAGTGAATTATGGTAAAACGTCACGGCATCATTGATCAGTACCAGCTAATCCATCATATCTAAATATGCTTCAACAATTTTCTAACATTAACAAGCTGTAAAACTACAGAAGGAAAAGATGTAACTGAAAACGTAATCCTGGTAATGGTAAAACACTACTCTAGAAATCATAACATTCACACAAACAGACCACATGACTCGTGAAATTGTGACTGCCTTTGATATTGAGTTGGACTGAAAGTATATATTTTCTAGAGAGAATAATGTTTACTCCGATAGTAAAGGTGTCTTGTAACGAATTGATAACGTTCTTCACTTATTCGTCTTCTATGTAACGTGTCCATTTAGTACGTTAGCTGTCATCGCTCTTCACAATTTCTTGATCTTTGTCGCTCCTAGTAAATAGTCTTTTCATTATCGCTTCTAAAACTTGTTCTGCCATCCATTTTCGAAAGCTATAGATGTTTCACTTTGTTTTCCTCTGTCTTGCCTTCAGTATGTCCCGTGAGAGTCAAATTTTCCAAGCCCTCTTTCGACACTGCGTGCTCTAGAAATGTCAACTCTCTCATTCTGGTATTAAGTATAAGTGGCATCTTTTTTTTTTTTTTTCATTTTCTCAAAATCTTCGTCATTGTTCACATGTTAAGTCCATGGCATTCTCATCATCCTTCTGCGAGGAGATTGCCCAGCATTCACTGCAATATACATACATTCCATAAATGTTCAGTACCCTTTTCTTTGTCTGTTTGCTTATATTTTGGAAGGCCTCTTCAGAAGTTTACGGTCGCCTAATTTTCTATAGATCCTTTCATTTAGACAAAATATTTTCGCCACATTAGATTATTTTTCTTCTATGTGCCGTGTCCCTTCAGGACGTTGCCGATCATAGCTCTCCACAATTCCCTCGCTTATATTTCGTATTTTTGTTATCGTCCCTAAACTTTGTCCAGCTATCCATTTACTCGCTACGTAGCTTATCTATTGTTTTCCTCTGTCCCCCTTGCCTTCAATCTATCCTGTGAGTATCAGATTTGCTAAGCCCTCTTTCCTCATTATGTGCCTTAAAGATTTGAACTGTCTTTTTCTGATGTTAAGTATAAGTGTCAATTTTGTTTACATTTTCTCTAAAACTTCTTCGTTGCTCACATGTTCGGTCCATGTTATTTATCAGCATCCTTCTGTAGAACCAAGATTCTGTTGCGTTAATTCTCTTATTTTTTCTGTTAAGAGATTGTCAAGCACTGACGTATGGGAGAACTGATATTATGTAACAGTTCAGAACTTTTGTTTTGGTAGCTTTCTCTATCTCTGTGATGAGGTATTATGATTATTTGAATTATTTACATTATTCGGACTGTTATCCTTATCTTCATTGCCATATTCACAACCTTTCGACCGTTTTACGTTCCGCCTTTCTTCAGCCCTTTATTTTAGATTGTTCTAGTTCTATGTGCCATGCCTCTTCTGGATTTCTCAATTATTCCCAGTTAATTCAAATCTCCTTAGCCTGGTATTGAACTGACAACTATTTGGGTCTGGTCATGGGATCTAACCAACATCTTTATGCGCCCACGTATTTTCAGTGTCACACTTCCCGTCCTCTGTTAAATTGTAGTCATTTAAATAGTTGTACATCATTGATTTCAGCATTTTGTGTTGTTTCTTTTGTTAACCATCATGCATTCTTTCATCTCGCCATTGAGGTTTTGTCTTTTTTTGTTCTCACTTTCCTTCAATACCTTCTGTCGTTCTTATTTTCTTTCTGCGTCTGCTATCAGCACTGTGCCATTATATTGCTAAGATTGTGACCGCTAACAATGAATCCTTCTAGACTTCTAATTCTCTCTAATTCACCTCACTGTATCGGTTGAATAAGTCCGGTGAAAAGAGACATCCTTGGTTTAAACCACTTTCTATTTTTGCATAAATACTGAATTCATTTCCTATCAGTATGCTGTCGGTATGCTGCTAATATGGGTTCTGCATTATTCGAATATCATTCCCAGATACACCATGGATATCTTGTAGTCCCAGTAGTTCTTTGGAAACTCGCATATGAACTCCCATATTTTTCTGAATATGTTCTGGTAAAATAAAAACATTTTAACTGAACACAAAATATTTCAATTGGCCACAAAAAATTAAGTTATATTATCTACGAAGAATACATTTGTAATCACTTCATCCCAATCAAGGCAATAAAGCCACTATGACGCAAGGGGTTTTACTGAGTGTTAGAGAAAAACAAAACAAAAAAAAAAAAAATTAAAGAGCGAGAACAATACACGGGCATGAATTAAGAAGACAGAAGATAACGATTGACATTGCACCTTTGAACATCAAAGTTGAATGGGAAGCAAGAAGACGGTAATATGAGAAAAGAAGCTGTTAGCATATAAACTTACTGATCCATCTAGCCATTTCTACTGTAAAATGATAAGATATTGCCGCCAATCGAGTACTACGCTTAAATTCATAAAGTCTAGGTACTCTGCATCAGACTATATGTGGCAAAATGATCCAAAGCAAATGCTTATCATCATCATCATCATCATCATTCGACCGTAGTCAAGATCAATGAGTCAATACGAACCAAGTCTTTCCTTAGCTGTATAGTATTCGCTATGCCAGAGCTACATACAGTTTTGAATTCAGAGTTGCTTTCTCCTAGACCGGTTGACACGCAAGGCGATAGAGCCCAATTGTCCTGCTATTTACCCATAGTTGAACGGGGACGAAGATCATAACTTTCCCAAGGGTATTAGCACATAAATGAATATAATAGATTCGACTGGTATTCGAACACGACTCTCCGATTCCTCAATCCGTGCAGCTCTCCATGACTCTACCGTAGATTTATAAATGTGTGGTATAGATCCTGGAGTGAAAACTTGTTTATCTCGACACAGTAAACCAGCTTTCCTAGCAGTAGAACTATCATTTGATTCAATATAATCGTTCGATTTCATGTCAGCGGAAAACGTTAACCGAAGAAAACGCAACGAGTGACTTTCCTGGAGGTTAGCATCAGCCATGCTTATGAAAGGCAAAAAAGGTTCCCTAAGATGATTAAAAGAGTATTTTTTTGCTTTGGAGGCATTAATGTTAAATTTTTAACTAAATTATGTATTAATTATATGAATAATTGGAATTTCTTGACCACTATGATATTCACGATATCTGATTCGTTGTGTTAAATTAACACCGATCAAATTTCTGCACGGAAAAGAATGATATTCACAAGTAGCCAAATGTTTCTGGTCAGCAGGCTTACGCGAATCAGAAAGACACTACTATGTCCCATTAACCGTCACTTACATAGGCGTACCAATCCAATAAAATCAAAGAAAATACACATGTACAGATATTACAATCGGTACATATATATATATATATATATATATATATATATATATATATATATATATATATATATAGAGAGAGAGAGAGAGAGAGAGAGAAAGACAGACAGACAGACAGAAAGATTTGGTAGATGTGTGTAACAAATCATGTAGTTAAATGTGTATTTATAATATAATCCTCATGAGAAATGTATATATAAATATAGAGAATGGCAATGAAGTGGTTACAATGACTATAATAAAAGGAATACAATAAATAAGACATAGATAGATAGATGATTACCAGACTGAGATAGATAGATAGATAGATAGATAGATAGATAGATAGATAGATAGATGAACAGACTGAGATAGATAGATAGATAGATAGATAGATAGATAGATAGATAGATAGATAGATAGTGAATAGATAGATAGATGAAGATAGAATAGATAGATAGATAGATAAATAGATAGATAGTGAACAGACTGAGATAGATAGATAGATAGATAGATAGATAGATAGATAGATAGATAGAGATAGATAGATGGTGAACAGACTGAGATAGATGGATAGATGGATAGATAGATAGATAGATAGATAGGATAGATGGTGAACAGACTGAGATAGATAGATAGAAATAGATAGATGATGTGAACAGACTGAGATAGATAGATAGATAGATGGATGGATGGATAGATAGATAGATAGATGGATGGTGAACAGACTGAGATAGATGGATAGATAGATAGATGGATAGATGGATAGAGATAGTGAACAGACTGGGATAGATAGATGGATAGATGGATGGATGGATGGATAGATGGATAGATGGATGTGAACAGACTGGGATAGATGGATGGATGGATGGATAGATGGATAGTGAACAGACTGGGGATGGATGGATGGATAGATGGATAGATAGATAGATGAACAGATGAGATAGATGAACAGATAGGGAGATAGATGGATGGATAGATAGATAGATGGATGGATAGATAGATAGATAGATAGTAAAATGCAGAGATAGATTTATAGATTAGAACAATCTGTGAGAGGGAGATAAAACCAACCATAGATATATATGATATATAGCTAGCCAGCTAGCTCGACATATATATATATATATATATAGATAGATAGATAGATAGATTAGATAGATAGATAGATTAGATTGAGATACATAGATAGATACATAGATAGAAAGATAGACATAAGACATAAAATGAATGAGATAGATAGATAGATAGATAGATAGGTAGATAGATAGATAGATAGATAGATAGATAGATAGATATGAGCAGACCGAAATAGATAGATAGATAGATGGATAGATAGAAGACATAAAATGAATTAGATAGATAGATAGATAGATAGATAGATAGAAGACATAAAATGAATTAGATAGATAGATAGATATGACCAGACTGAGATATATAGATATAGATAGATATGAACAGATTGAGATAGATAAATCGATAAATATTTATGAAGAGATTGCCATAGATAGATAGATAGATAGGATTGGCTGGTTATTTGGACGAAATAGACCCTGCAAAATATAAATCCAGTATCCCGAACAGTTACTTCAGTGAAAGAACGGAACCTGACAATCAAATGTGATACTTTGACTGACGTGACATTTGCCCAAATGCGAAAGACAAGCTCACGCGACAAGCACACGTCACATCTCCGTGTCGCATTCCCATTCAACGTCCTCAAATATTCCGTTCTCTCTTCCTTTTATTCACCCTTGCCTATATCGGTGATTTGTTCCGTTTCATACGCACTTGGATTCTCTTGATTTCCTTCATAGAGAAAAAAAAAAGCGTTATTTACCTCAGCCAATGTCTGTCATTATATGAGATTGCGGTGTATCTGCCCCTAAAAGAAAAGACGAACAATTCTATAAAACGTAATCGAGATATATGCCTTCCCGATTTTATTTTGAACCTATAAATTCATAATGTTCCTTCTACGCGGAAAATGCTATGCATCATCTTACGCGATCAAGGAACTCCACAATTTCCTGTCAATTGTAGCTCTTAGTATTTTTTTTTCTTTTTCTGCCATTCCTAAACTTTATTCCGCCATCCATTTACACACGCTCGTTAGGTAGCTTAACCTCAGTTTTCCTGTCTCTGTCTTCAATCTGTCCTGTGAGTATTAGATTTTCCAAGCCCTCTTTCCTCATTATGTGACATAGAAATTCCTTGTCTCTTTCTGATGTTAAGTAAAATGTTATATTTGTCTCCATTTTCTGTAAAACTCCTTTATTGTTCACATGTTCGGTATATGGAATTCTCAGCAACCTTCTGTAGAACCAAATCTCTGTTGCTTCAATTTCCAGCCTTCACTGACATATTGGAGGACTGATATTACATGACAATTAAGTACTCTTTTCTTTGTTTCGAACGATATTTTCTTGTTCCTTAATATTTAGTTTCGTTTTTTTAAGGCATCTTCTGCTGTCCCGATCGCCTTCGGTGTTGCTATATCCAAGAATAGAGTTCAAAGAATTGAATTCTTCTTTTTCCCGTCAGTAATTCTTATCCTTTGTAAGTCTTAGCAATGTCTGTCTTTTTTTAAAAGTGATACCTGATTTACCCTGTACGTACACAAACACGTGATGCCGATGACTAGTTATTTCCATCTCTTCTACTGTTGCCTTCAATATATCCTGTGAGTTTCCCAGGCCTTCCTTTCCCAATAAGCGAACTGGAAGAATCAACTGCCACTTTTATGTTTATATTTAAATATATATTGCTCTCCATTCTTATATGCAATTGATTTATCAATAATTATCCTTTTATTTGTATAAATATCGTGTGAGTATCAAATTTTCCAAGTCTTCCTTTCTCAATAAGTGACCCGGAAATATCAACTTCCTCTTTTATGTTTATATTTAGGCATATATTACCCTCTATTCTTTATCAATAATATTCCTTTTATTTTATTTGCATGCATATAAAAATGTTATAAATATAATTTTACCTATAAACTTTTATATTTAAAATGTTCAATTCATGCCATTCTCATAATTCTGTGGCAATATCAGTGCCAGCAGTATGTTGTTAAATGGATACCTTACCTTTTACAAAAATAGCGTCAGACATTTATTTTTCCTGATGATTATCAGCTAATTAAAGTGGACTTCACAAGTACCATGACAAGTGGCACTGACAAAGAAGCTCACTGAATTAAGATAAATGACTTTTTAGACAAAGATGACACGACAAAAAACGATTTCTCTATAAGACAGTGGTCACTACCCGTAGAAAAGGCAGAGTGATCGAAAGCAGGCACAGAGCGTGAAGACAAGATCGTCTAGCAGCGAGGCGAAAGGGAAGACACGCTTGTAAGATTGGACACGTCCCCACTCACCTCTCTGCTTTTCTGTTCTCATCGAGAGATTGAAGGTTTTGAGGAACGTGGAACAACCCCTTATGGTTTCTGTTACTATGCCAACCCTAACCAGGGATTGTAGCAACATTTAGGGTCCCACCTATTGGTGAATAATGAACGCCCAAACATTAAAAAAAAAACGACATTAAAGTATAAAAAATACATTTATAGTAAAAATGTGAGCAATAGATTTTTATTCAAAAATGTCCAACAATAGATATTTGTAGTAAAATGAACAACAATAGCTACTTAAAATACGTTTTATCTGCAGTTGAAGTCATAAAATTTTGTTCAAAATATTTTGATTTAGTCATTAAATAACCCATAGAGGTTGATACGCCTCTAAAATAACTCAACCAAAAGAACAAGCAACATGAAATAACTTTCATGACATTAATCCATATAATATCCTACAATTTCGTAAAGAAATCAAACTGCATTCCAAAGTAAAACTTAAAGAAAACTACGACATAAAACACACATATTAACGACTCTAGTAATCATGTTCTGACAAACAAGTATATGCATAAAAACATCTACCATGTATTCAGTTGTAAAAGCAGAATAAAATATATCTTAATTTTATGATTTCCAAAATCCCAAGAAAATTAAATTTCGTCATTAAATGATTCATAAGGAGTTGATGTGCCATTAAACAAACCAAATCAAATCTCTACTTCACTTGTCTAAACCAGTTCGCAACCAGAAAATAAAAGTTGTTTATCGCTACGAAATTCTCATGATTTTAATTTACGGATGACGATATAACCAATGAGTTATTTTTTTAAGCCACAAGCGCTTGGCTGGAATAAGCTGCATCCTGGGAACGAGTTTTGGGTCTGCTCGAAGCTGCAACATTACAATCAGTCTGTAGATACACATTTCTCGCGCTGGCTTGCTTACGTTCTCTGGAATTGTCAGCATCCTCATACATATTATCCCTCACTAATAGTACGGCTCGGAGTTTTTGAGAAAAAGCAATATCCAGAAGCTGAATATAGGCTAACACTTATGTAATTAAAATTTTAAAAAATTTTAAATTTATATATATATATATATATATATATATATATATATATATATATAAAGTGCTGTTCGATAAAAGTGACTCACCTGATTTTTTTTTTTACTAAATGTTCTCTTCTCCGATGAAACGAAAGTTGAGCTAAATTCAAAGGATAAGCAATCTAAAATCCGAAGAAGAAGCTTTGAAAGCTCTTTGAATTTAACAGTAAGTACTGTCAAGCATCCGTTCAGTATAATGTTCTGGAGATGCTTTTATTTTCATGGAACTGGTTTCTTAAAACCTATTGAAAAGACCCTCAGGAGCGAGCAGTACAAGAGAATTTTAGAGTCTTGTCTGATCCCTTCTGCTGAAAGGGTGCAAAACCACCCGACCAAGCTCATTTTTATGCAGGATAATGCTCCCTGTCACAAATCAAACTTGATGAAGGATTACTTTGATGAGAAGCAGGTGAGTGTTATGACATGGCCGCCCCAATCTCCTGGCCTCAACCCGATAGAAAACTGAAGCATTATAAAGTACAGGCTCTCAAGAAAGCAGTTGAGCAACAAAAAGGATTTGATTGTGAATTTCATATCTGAATGGAATTCAATGATTGGAGATGAGATTTGCCAGAACCTAATCAAGTCAATGCTAAAAAAGGTTCAAAAGGTTATTCAAAATAAAGGAGGACCCATAGATTATTAAATATTTCGAACTATATTACCTATTATAAATAAATAATACCTCTTTCATTCTTTATTTAAAACTGTTCGGTTATGTTTCTATTGATGACTAGTTGCAGGAAATAAGTGAGTCACTTTTTTTACATAGAGTTTTTATCTAAATCTCATTTATATACAAAATTATAATTATCAATAGAATACCTGAGGGTAAGTAAAATTTTACTAGGTCGGAAAGGGATCTTTATATTAGTAAGATTAAAAATTAGTTTGACCCAAAAAACAATAGGCGAAAAAAATTTTAATTTAAAAAAATCAGGTGAGTCACTTTTATCGAACAGCACTGTATATATATATATAAATTACATATAATTGAAATCCAAAGATACTCCATATGACTAACTATTTCTCCTCGGAATTATCAATCTTACAAGATTAATTCTTGCGGGGAGAAATAGCTATTTAAATGGGGTATTCTTTGGATTTCAATTATCATATATATATATATATATATATATATATATATATATATATATATATAGATAGATAGATAGATAGATAGATGTACAAAAATACTTTAGTGTTGTGAATATTATTTTTCGTATTAAGCATAAAGGTTTATTACCATGTCTTTTTTAATAAATAACCAAACCATAAACTACATCAAATGTATTTGTATATATATTTATATGCATGTACATATTTATCAAACAATATACGTATTAAAAAAGTTTACATCACAATAGTCGCTATATATATATATATATATATATATATATATATATATATATATATATATATATATATTATTATTATTATTATTATTATTATTAATAGGAATCTTATAAGTGTAAGAAACTATACTCGCTCTGAAAACCTTCGGTGTCTTGATTTGCAAATAATCAAACCAATACCAAAGGGAAAAAAGGTATAAAAAAAGACAGAACCAAGAACATGTACGTTAGCCGAAAATAATCGTCCAGCATACGAGTCCAAGGTCCAAAGAAAAAAAAACCGATGCGAGTACCCAAAATAACTAAATAAAGTGTTCAATACAATGAGTAGAGCAGGCCTAGTTAAACCTAGAGAGCCAGACAAACCTACCAAGGTTTTCACCTAAGCGGATCGTCAGGGAAAACTGGCTTTCCCTGACGATCCGCTTAGGTGAAAATATATATATATATATATATATATATATATATATATATATATATAACATCTTACTCGTAAGTAAGGAAATTCAGTAAAAGATTGAATATCACGTATAACGTATTTAGGTTGAAATTGGTGACTAAATACACTTCATATATATATATATATATATATATATATATATATATATATATATATATATATGTGTGTGTGTGTGTGTGTGTGTGTGTGTGTGTCTGTGTGAAAATATATAGAAAATAGGAAGGAACTGGTTAGGTAAATAATCCAAAGTCCCTTAGTATTTTAGTTATTATTTTAAAAAATAGTGCTCGATACAAAAGTAGAGCATAAATATAATTATTTATTTAAAAATATGATTCCAAATCGTTACATAAGAGGTCTCATGTTTCAAAACAAGAGCCGAAAACTTCAATATAATCCTTTAAATTAAATTGAGTTGAAATTAAAATGGGCTCCGTTCCATCTTCAAGCGAAATTTTTGTTGGAATAACGTATATCTGAAATTTACTTGTTTTAAAAATTGAAATCAAAATCCCCATGGTAACAGCTAGGGTGAATTGTCTAAATTGAGTAGGCGAGTGTAGGGTGTTAATAATAAGTAGCGGTATAGAGATACTTTCAAGGTGTCAAGTCGGGGAAAGGTGTGGGTGTCAAAAATGAAACGGAAGATGTATTAGCCATCGTCTAGTTTGCTTGTCTATGGAGATTTATTTTATTTTATTTTATTATGAAAGGGAATTGTGCATATAAAAAAGAAAAACTTTCGTAACGTTTGTTTTTTGACGACTTCATAAAGGGTTATCTTTTATGTAAGGTATTTAAACTAATAATTTAGGCTATGGATTATGAAGGGTGTTATGTTTTATGCATGTTTGTAGTTAATTATTCCTACTATGAATCTGATGATTGGGCTATTTGTTAAACAAGTTATATAAATTTTTTATCTAATAATTCAAACCAAAAATCTGATGATGCCTACAAAAAACCGTTAACTCGTGTCTATTATTTAATAGATTATTATTATTTAGAAGTTTAATAATGTGCAATTTTTCATGGAGGCACAAAGGGCATGGGTCATCCCAAGCTTTACATATTCTAGCCTTGTCAATAATTTTCCATTTAACTTTTGGTGTCTTATTTGTTTCCTTCAGGTGCCAAAAATATTTTTATAGTGAAGTCTGATTTCTTTCTTTTTATTATATATATATATATATATATATATATATATATATATATATATATATATATATAATAATAAGAAGAAATACACATTTTGTTCCTTATCGGGGTAGAGGATAACATTAAGAGGCAGTTTATGCGGAGAGGTGAGAAAGATAACCCAAGACTTGAACAGTTTAAGATATTAGTAATCGGGGAAAAATCCTCTTGGGAGTCGGTTTCACAGAGCAGTGGTTCGGGTTGAACACCAATGGAACACGGAGTGAATGTGATTGGTATGCTATAATGTAAGTGGCATGGCTGATCCTAGAAGTGAATGTTACAACTGGCGGGACCAAGGAATGCAGTCCGTCCAAGCACATTCCAAATAACGATAGAGAAGTGAGTGTATTGCCACATCCTACCTGAAAAAAGAGAGGTTGGAGAATGGAAAATAATCTGACACACAAAAGGATTCGGAGACGGTTTCTGGACCGGAAGGTGAGGATTGGGCAGCTTCCGGTCAAATAAGACAATATTACTCCATTTCAGGCCTGATCTCTCTATTAAAACAGTAGACGATAGAATGCGGTGACAAGTACTTGGAGCGGTACAGGGAGCTGACTATTTTTTCCTGCCTTTTGAATGTGTTCTGAAATTTTCTTTGTGGCCATTTCGTTTGATAAATTCTTGTGAGTTAGCGGCATAATTCATTATGGCGTCTAGTTTTAATGTTTGGACGATTGTTTTACCTTCCATATTAATATATATATATATATATATATATATATATATATATATCAAATCGATCTCGAGGGAAAAAATGTTTTAAAAAAAGAATGAGCTAGAAACATGAAAGTCTGTCGAAAAAAAAATCGCATAGATACAGGTTCAAAGCCCAAAGAAAAAACCTCGATACGAGTAAACAATAAACATGTCTATCGCCTATAAATATGCGTTTCTCTTTTGCCTCTTCAGCCAGCTTTTTCTGACGATCCGCTTAGGTGAAACCTGGGTAGGTTTGTCTAGCTCACTAGGTTTATCTATCTATCTATCTATCTATCTATATATATATATATATATATATATATATATATATATATATATATATATATTGAACAATAAGAAAATAAAAATTAAAAATTAAAAAATTAAAATCATTAGACACACTGGGTTGTAGATTAATATTCTTTCGTTTTTTTTATTATTATTCCATTTAGATTCCTCGACTAGTTTCGACCGAAATGGCCATCATCGGGAGGAGAAATATTTTGCTTGCTGTTGGCAGGGAACTACAGAAATGAATGTCTTTTGTTGGAGAAAATGAACTATGGGTAAAAAGTTAACTTGTTAAAAAGTCTGAACAAAAACTTGTTGCATAGAGTAAATAATAAGATTTAGAAAAACACTAACGTTTTTCTATATTTATATGTAATATTTATAAAAGAAATATGTTTATAGAGATTTATTAAGATTAAAATTGTTCTCCTTATAGGTGGGTTTTTCGAAAAAATTGTTTTACTTTAAATAGCTTTCGTTTTAGCTTTTCATGTGTTTGCAAACGCTTATTAGATTTCCACGTGCTGATGCGTATGCCTCGAAGAAAATAAAAAAAGGGGCGTAACTGGTCACATATGTCGCTTATGTTATGGAAAATATGACAGAATTTATTTTGAGGGATGTTCCTCTGGTTTATGTAATTAATTGAGTTTTGGTTTAAATTTCGTGATAAAAATGATTTTATATTCGGCGATTTTATAGTCGCATGTTTGGGTGGGCGATTTTTTTGTATTTACGAGAATTTTGGAAATCTTATAACACATTGTCTGTTTCTAATGAGTTTAACACTGAATATTTTGATGGAATATCGACTTCTCTATCCGTTTACCTTGGACTGAAATCGCTGTTGAATATTCATTTGAGCCAATGAGAGGCATTTCTTTTTGTTCTGGTTTTGTCTATAGCGAGTTTCAGAAAGCAAGATTGATTTATGTTGAAAAGATGTCAGTAAGAGGTCAAAAAGTCCTGCCATATTAAAGTGAACACGTCAATGGTTGAATGTCACCAGAAAAAAAGAAAAAAAACATTGATAAATGTATGCGAAATTAGAATGTGATTTCTTTGAAGTGAAAGAAATGAACGGAAATGATAAAGTGGAAAGCGAGAAAATACGAAAGAAATATGAACGCAAAATAACATGACTTGACAAAAGAGACAATGAAAAGTGAAAATGGATACTCCAAAGAAAGAAAGAAAGAAAAGAAAGAAAGAAAGAAAGAAAGAAAGAAAGAAAGAAAGAAAGACAGTATTCGCAAACAACCATCACTGCTTTAAAGAAAGAAAAAAGGAAGAATTCTTGTTAAAAAGAACATATTTTAAAGAAAGGATGTATTGGTGGAAACTATAATTGCTTTAAATAAATAAATAAAGAAAGAAAGGAAGAAAGAAAGAAAAAAGAATGAAAAAAGAACGAGAGAAAGAAAAGTATTCGCGAAAACTATGATTGCTGTAAAAAGAAAGGAAAAAAAAGAAAAATATATTCGAGAAAAGTAATTTCTTTAAAGAAAGAAAGAAAGACACTGACTGAAAAGAAGAAAGAAAAAATAAAGAAAGGAAGAAAGAAAGAAAGAAAGAAAGAAAGAAAGTAAAGTATTCGCAAAAACTATAATCGCTTTCGAGAAAGAAAGACACTGATTGAAAGAAAGCAAGAAAGAAAGACATTGATTGAAAGAAAGAAAGAAAGAAAGACATTGATTGAAAGAAAGAAAGAAAGAAAGAAAGAAAGAAAGAAAGAAAGAGAGAAAGAAAAAAGACATTGATTGAAAGAAAGCAAAAAAGAAAGACATTGATTGAATGAAAGAAAGAAAGAAAGAAAGA